AATATATCAAATATGTCTGACATTTAGATCTGCAATATGCTGCGCCACGTTCGTCAATCCAATCCTGTTACAATATTATCAAAGTTTATTAAAATTACTATTTATTAAGTTTAAATTTTAAGATTTAAAGTAATATTATTATTTAAAATACTTAAAAATTTAAATATTATTTTAGTTAGCTTAATGCTTATTTAATCTTAATATAATATTTTATATAATTTATAAAACTTTAAATTTTTAATTATAAAATTTATTTTTTAAAAAAAACTTATTTTAAATTAGTATTAAAATAATTTTTTCAAAAATACTTTATTTTCCATTTTTGAAACACAATACTTATGTGCATTATAGTCAATATAATAGTACAAACTTTATTTAAATTTTGTAGAATAAGTAAAAAAGTAAAAAATAACACTTTTAAGATAATCAAGAAATAGTAAATTAATTAAAGAGAATCTTTTAAAGTATTTAAAAGAAAGAATGAAAGAAAAAAAATATTAATATAATAAAACAAAAAAAAGTGATTTAGCTTAAATGTTACATAAAAATGTATCTCTAATCTAGGGCTTTAAGGATTCAGATTATCCTATAAAAATAAGTTTAGTGTTAGTTTTTTAAAATTATAGAAAAAATAAACTAACAAATCTCCAATTATAGATTTCAAATCAGTCTACAAAGGTAAGTAAATAATATTTTTTTTTTAAAAAAAAAAATTAAAAAAAAAGATTATTATGTTAGAATTTACCTTTAACTTAGTAATATGCACTTGAAAGATTGAAAGCACTCTTGAAAGTACCTTTAGAAGGGTTAAAAGTATAATTCTCTAATAAATTCATTTGAATTGGAAGCTTCCAATCAAATTTTATACTATTAAAAGCATAAAAATGCATATTACTACTCTGATTCATATTTCAAGGATCTGAATCAGTTTACAAAGATAAGTTAATATCAGTAATTTATTTTTTATAATTAGAAAAAAAAATACTTACAAATTTGTCTTACAAAGTAAGTTTACTATTAGTTTTTTATAAAATCAAAATAAATAAAAATAAAAAATAAAAAAAAAATACTACACTGCCCTATAATAAATTACTGGATTTTATAAATTTTACTTAGTAATATATAGTAAATTGAAGAATTTCAGATTGCATAAAAGTTTATTAATTTTTAATAATTTCACTCTAAATTTTTTTTATTTAATAAACAATTAATTATAATTTTAAAAATATAATTCAAAAATATTCTATTTATAAAATACTGAAAAATACTCATTTGTAAAGTAATAGACAACACAATTTTATATATAAAAATGCAAAAAATATATAAAAAAATTATTACTTATACTTCAATATGAGAAATTTTGTTATGTTCTAAAAAATTTCTTTTTTCATTTAATATCTAAAAACTATATTGATTAGCTATCAATAAAAAAACTCAGATAACTTTTATTGAAACTTGTAAACTTTTATGCAATCTGAAGATTTTCAATTTTACTATATATTACTAAGTAAAATTTATAAAATCAGGTAATTTATTGTAAGGCAGTATAATAGGACTTACCTATGATTCAATTTTAATCCAAGTTTTCAAAATCTGAATTGTTTATAAAGTTAAGTTTAGTATGATTTTTTTTTTTAAAAGATTATAAAAAAATAAATAACAAAATATTCTATTCCATTAAGACTTACTTTTGTTCTAAGCTTCCAGATCAGTAAGTAATGTGAATTCTTTTTAAAAAAAATAATAATATATAGAAATTACTAAAGAATTAATACAATAAATTTATTTACCTTCAATCAATTCCAATTTTTCAAGATTCTAAACTATTTTACAAAGGTATTTAATATTAAATTTTTCTTTTTTTTAAAAAAAAAGAATGACTTATGTATTTCAAAAATTTCAAGGATTCAACCCTTTCAAATTCAGCAATAGCTACTTACTAAGTTTGAAGTAAAAGATTAAAAAAAAATTAGTTTTTATCAAATCTATCAGATATCTGATCAATCTATCTGTAATGCATCTTTACGACAGATGGCTTATCAGATATCAATTGATTAGTATCTTTACAATAAAAGTAATTGAACAGTGAGTTGAAAAAGAGTAAAAATGAAAAATATAATAAAACAATGATGTAAATATTAATATTATTGATAATAGTAGAAATAATAATAGTGAAGGTTGAAATTTTATCAGAAATGCTGCCAAATTTTTAATACATTTTTATAAATTATTTAAATTCCACGTTATATGCTTACTAAATTAGCATAAAAAAATAATCTAAATTAATGCAAATAGTAATATACAATAAACTTAAAAACGAATTAGAAATTGCAAAGAATGAATATAAAAAGATGAAAGAGAATTTGAAGGAATTCAAAAAGGAGTGGAAAGAAAAGAAAATATAGGAGTTAAGAAAGAAGTTAGATAGAGAAGAAAGGAATAAGAAGCAGAGAAAAGGGTGAGAAAAAATGAGAGACAAGTTGAAGGAAGAAAAGAAGGAATTGAAGAGATAAGAAAGATTGGAAGAAGTAAGTAAAAAAGTTGCAGGTTGTGTTAGTGAATTTTGGTGAAGAAAAAGGTAAATGAACAAATTTTGTAAAAAAAAAATTATTTTCCATTTTGTTATATTTATTTGTTAAGCAAATATTGATTATACTATTTTAACTTTTACTAACACATTTTTTTCCTTTAGTTATAAAATATAAGTCTGAAGCGGAATTAGAAAGTGAAAGTAAGTTTGCTTGCTTTTCTTAAATTTAATGTTCAAGATATTTGCTAAACTAATTATGTTTTTGTTTACTATTTGCAAATAGATGTTGATATTAAAGCATTAAATCATGTTAAAAGAATAAAATACTCTGCATCAGATTCGCCTTATAGAGAAATTAGATCTAAGAATTAAATCATCCTAATCTACCATTTTTAAATTGTCATTCACCAACAAATTATGATATTCCAATTACTTTGTACAATAAAATTTTCAGAAAATTTTTAAGAGATTGCAAAGATCTTATTATAACAAATGAGAACAAAAATACTGTTTATGAATTACTATCAACAATGAGTGGTATTTTTATATCACAAAATGAGAGAATAAATTTATTTCAAGAGTGAGCTATAAAATTTATCAATTATGATATAACCTCTTATATATTTAGTAATGATTAGTCAATTGATAGAGTATAGCAGAAAGTATACAATAAAAAAACTATTTTATTAACGATTTTTGAATTCAAAAATGAATTTTCATCAGCTGATCCTTACATGCAAGCAAACATAAATTATTCTAGATATTTTGAAGAGTTACATAATAAAAACTCATATATTCTTCAGCAAACTTGTGTATTAACTTTTATTGTTTACATCTATAAACCTTATTTTGACAGTTATGAAACAAAACATCACTATTGACCCGCTTGTAAAAGGATCACTAATTTTGAAATATAGAAACAGATTTTGAATAGATTAGATAATAAGAGTTTTTATATATTATGAAAAACTAATAACCATCTAGATGAATATTATAGTAAAATCCTAAAACTTCAAGTGAGTAAAGAAGTAATAAGACAAAAATATTTTCCTTTTCTAAGAAAATATAAATCAACTTCTGGAGTATTTGTAAATATGAAATATATAAATCATATTAATAGTGAAAATAAGAAGCTTATTTTTTGATAAGGAAATCAGGAAGGAAAAAGTATATTTTGAAATTTGTTACTTTATACAATATAGAGATTCATAATTTTTGCTTTAATTAAAGATTTGTATTGGAACTAATAAAATTTGATAATATTAAAAACGCTAACTACAAATTTATTATTATAAAATATCTTGATGAATTTAATATTATAACTGATATATGGTATGGATTAAATGAGAAAAAAAAAACAGAATTAAAAGCAAAGATTTTAGATGCAGTAAAAATAATGCATGATAATAATTTTGTTTATAGGGATTTACATTTTAATAATATAATAACAAAATTAGATTCAAATAAAAAATGGATATAAAGTTCATAGATTTAACTGGATTGGATTTAATGAAAAAGCAGAATATTCACAATTTTTGAATAGGAAATTAAATGGCATAGTGATGTATAACAACTTGATAAAATTTTCTATGATCATGATAATTATTTAATCAATTATTACTTTAATAATTATGAATGATCTTATAATAATTATTAATTTTATTATAGAATTTTCAAATTTTTGATTTATATTTATTATATTTTATTAAAATTTATTTTAATAAAATATATGAATAATAAGGATTTACCTTAAAATATTATAACTATTATATCAATACATATTGCTGAATCTATTTACTATAGTAAAAACAATCTTATAAAATAAATATAAAATTATATATATAGGAATAAGAATATATGAAAAGTAATAATATATACAATAGTTTTAATAAATATCAAAACTATTGATTTTAGAAAAAGAATGTGATTGTAATTGCTTTTCAAGAAATTTTAAGAAGTAATTAATGGAATTTTTTTAAGCTCTTTTTAAATAAAACAAGACATATTTTTAATGATTTAACTTAAAATAATAGATGGTAAATTAACAAATACTAATAGATATCTTAAAAAGAAAATCAAATCTAATAAAAAAAAATTTTTTATTACTAAATCACAATAAATTCATTTGTCAAGAAAATTTATTCTTGATAAAATAAAATTATAAGAAAAGGTTTTAATAGTATTCTTAGTATGATTTTTGATAAAATTAAGAAATTGAATAAAGGTGAAAAATATTTAAAGATTACTTATGATAATAATGATAAATAAAATAAAAAATAATGTAACAATTTGATTTTATTTATATTTAATAATTTGTGATTATTATAAAAGTGTTAAAGTGGATTTATAATTTTTGAATATATTAAATTCAAATGTGATGGTAATTTTGAATTAATTAAAAAACTTTATAGAAAAACAAGTATAGATAGTATAGGTTATAAAATTGATATAATAAAAACAAGATTAAATAAAACTTAATGTTATAAAGATAAAAAAGTTTTTAATATTTAATTTATTTGATTAGCTTATTTTATTAAATTCTTTACATATTTATTATTTTTATTATTATTATAATTTATCTTTTATTTTATATCTTTATTTTATTATCTTTTATTATTATTTTATAGCTAAAGTTTACTAAATAGTTAGTTTATAACATAATAAGTAATTAGTCATAAAAAATTAATTTTGTATAAATAGAATAGCTTTTTGCTTAAGTTGTAAATTAATTTAGTTATAAATTTCTAACTCTTTTGCGAGTTTCAGTATTATAAATAAACAAATTTATTTAAATCTATACAAATTTATTTTTTCTTTAACATTATCCCTCATCTAAGATTTATTGTGATACTCTATACTAACTTGCTATTAAATTTGTTATTATGAGTTTAACTAATATATCTTAAATTTTAAAACATGATAAATTGCTAAGTTGATTCAAGTATAATAGATATCTGTAAGACTTAGAGAAAATTCTAATATTAAAAACTCAACATATAAAATTAACTTTCATAATCTTTTAACTTAAATATTAAGATAACTGAAAACAAATCTAGTAATAATAATAATTTTAGTTTTTTTTATATTTAAAAAATACTAAAATAATTATAATCATAAATAAAATATAAGTATATTAAAAGAATAAATAAAAAAATAAATGAACAAGAAAATTATACTTAATATCCTAAAAAAATAATAATAAATAAATAAAAAAAACTAATCAATAAAATTAAAACATTGAAAAAATAAAGAATAAGATAATATACAGTGGATAACAAAAGAAACGTAAGTATGATTGTTACCTTTGAATGGTATAGGGGGGTGAAATAAATATTGAATAATTTTTATTTGATATTTATTTATATTTATTTGCTACAATAAATTTGTATAATATATTTAATATTTAGTATGACCTCCTTTAGCAGAAA